TTATATACCAGACTACCCTATCTAGTAAATACTAGAGCATTCATGAAGGAACAAGATAGTTCTAGAAACTAGAGGGCGCCACAGTAGTCATGTGACTCGCTGACGCAACAGTATTATTACCATAGAATTTTACATTTTCATATCATAAACTGGTCAGTGCTAGAACTGAGGAACTATTTCCCTCTCTTATCTCATTGATAGAACTTCTATTGTCCCCTTTTTTACTTTATAAGAGCTGGTTGGAAGGAATTTCTTACTTTTTCTAGCTTTTCTTTACTGGCTGAAGACATAATATTTGTTAAGCTGATAATCATCACATACTGAGCCTTCGGAGTAATCCTTGTTAAAATAGTAACTTATTGTGATATTCAAACGGTAACCCTTGTCTCCATTCAATTGATCGTTGCAGTGAAATGAAATTATATTTATTTTGAGCACTAAATTAACCCTATTTTTACTTTTGGTTAATTACAGTTGAAACAAAATGGATTTTTTGTTATTTATTATGTATTTCAGAAAACGTTTGTTTGCTTTCAGTACTACTATTCTAATTGTATTTTAAACATATTTTCCTCTCATTAACAGAATAATTAAAATTTTAAAAAATTAATCGTGTTTCGTAAGGAATTTCCTCTAACAAGTTGAATGAAATGGTAATTGCCACCTCATATTTATTGGATACTCAGTTAAAGTGAAACCACTACTTTAAATTGCTTACTTCAATTAAACCACTACTTTAAACTGATTACTTCAATTAAACCACTACTTTAAATTGTTTACTTCAATTAAACCACTACTTTAAATTGATTACTTCAATTAAATCACTACTTTAAATTGTTTACTTCAATTAAACCACTACTTTAAATTGATTACTTCAATTAAATCACTACTTTAAATTGTTTACTTCAATTAAACCACTACTTTAAATTGATTACTTCAATTAAATCACTACTTGAAATTGATTACTTCAATTAAATCACTATTTTAAATTGATTAGTTCAATTAAACCACTACTTTAAATTGATTACTTCAATTAAATCACTACTTTAAATTGATTACTTCAATTAAACCACTACTTTAAATTGATTACTTCAAGTAAATCACTATTTTAAATTGATCCTACTTGAAGTAAATCACTAATTTATATTCACCTTATTTCCATTAAATCATTAATTTGTATTCACCTTATTTCCATTAAATCATTAATTTGTATTCACCTTATTTCCATTAAATCATTATTTATATTTCCTTTGCTTCAGTTAAATCACTAATTTATATTCACCTTACTTCAAATAAATCACTAATTTAATTTGATCCTACTTCAAGTAAATCATTAATTTATATTCACCGTACTTCAATCAAATCACAAATATAAATTCACCTTACTTCAAGTAAATCACTAATTTAAATTGATCCTACTTCAAATAAATCAGTAAGTTAAATTGATCCTACTTCAAATAAATCAATAAGTTAAATTGATCCTACTTCAATTAAATAAGTAATTTGAATCGACTCTACTTCGATTTTCTACATCGAATCTTTTCTGGTGATTGCCAGAAAAAAAGATTTTAAAAACGAGTAATGAAAGGGTTAAACCTATCCTTACCGGATGTTCTCCGTAAACAAGCAAAGTCTTTTATAGACCCAGCTGTTGATGAAAGAGGATATACTTTTGGTAGGACTCCTCGTCCGTCCTATCAGGGATCAGCTGTCAGTCGTCACGATTTACGGTTGACGCTAGGAGCATTTGATGCTCTTATTTCGTCTGTGTATAAATCATCCACGTATTTAATTATATTGCTGTGGTAAGAACGCAGTCCCAAAGGCATCAACACTTCTCAGAACGCCAAGTTACACAATATAACTAAGCATTTGAGCAAGAAACAAAACTGCTATGCTGAGATGATTATAATATCAAATAAAATGTGTTTTTGATACGCCATCTGGATGTAAGGAAACTATTGTTTTTCAGAAAACTTTTCAAATTTTGTTTGTTTGACATTAAGTACGAAGCTACAAAATTGGCTGTCTGTGCCGTGTCCACCGCGAGTATCGAAACCATATGTTTTGACTTTCCGCTGAGCCACCAGGGCTAATTTTTTCAAATAACAGTTTAAATATACAAAAGTAACTTGTAATTACGTCCTGCTTAGTTTGAAAGTACTGTTAAACTAAGTTGAACACTAACTCCGTGTAATACAAGTCTGTAATAAAATTCATTTGTCCTTGTTGAATGATTACTATTCGCCATGACTTATTCTAAATGTTATCACCCATACTCAAAAAATTTGTTTATATTTCATATAATTTTATAACACTAAATATGTAAGCTCCAGGTTGTTTTCATAACAACGCTAAATGTGTAAACTCGGTATTGTTTCCAACAGCGAAATCACTGCTTTTTCCATGGTAACACGTGATGAATTTCGTGCTTTGTTCATTTCGTTTTCTTCATAAATGTACCAAGAGGCTTTAAGTTCGGAAAATGTACAGTGATTTAATCAAACTTTGTAGAAGCTGTCCAAGAAAAGAAAGAAAAAGTGTTCCTGAAATGAAGTTATTTTTGCCCCGTCACTTCCGATTCTAAAAATCCCATGCTCTAGAGGCATAGATCCGGAATATCTATTGCCCCACCGGAAGTATGTGTGTGTGTATGATAACGGGAAATGATACAAACCACTTTTTATTGGCGCGGTTATTTTCTTGTTAGTAGTTAGCTGTTTTCACTCATAAGTTACACCTTCTAAGCGTGAATTATTATTATATTAATTAATTAATACGAGGAGAAAAAAACACTCATTCTTCTGAATTTTAAATTATTTTCATAGCCTTCCATTTTCAGTACATACTATATATATATATATATATTTCTACAGCTTGTGAGAATACCAGACTTCCTAAACTAAACCGAAGTAATTTCATTATTATTATATTTTGTGACGAAGACTTACGTGTGTTATTTTTTTTATTTTTTTGTATTTCGTTAGGTTCTCACGGAAATTCCTGCAACGCCTTCACTAAGATGGACATGCACGGAACAAAGTGAATCATCTGTCGATGACGTCATATTCGTGTTTCCTGAAGGCAGTGTATCTCAACCAGTGATTAGTTGGCTTGATGTTTGAAATCAGATGTTTATAATCGCTCTTGGTCTAAGTATTTTGGAAATATTTTATGAAATGATTCTCAGTTGATTCTCAAAACGTTACAATGAGATCCAACATCAGTACTAACAGAAGACGCCAGGGGTCATTTTCTCTGACTTGTCGTAAGCCACGCCTGAATAGCTTGTGTTCCATCTGGTATTCCATTCTAGCACTCGCCTTTCAAATCTACATTATCGTCCATAGTGTTCAAAGTTTCGTCAAGTATATATCCTTGCCGTGGCCAGTGGAAAATCAGCCTTTTCTAGAACTCAACGCGTACGTGGCTCTGATTGGAGCAGCTCTAATTCTCCTACCGTTCTTCACAGTCGCCGGTATTCTTAAAGTTGGTAACTTTTCTAATGATGGCGGAAAATGGGGTAGAAACGATGACGACAACGGGGCTATTTATCAAAACTTACGAAGGGATAAACCGAAACGGTGGGTGAAAATGCTATGGAAACACGGTGCACCTACAGCACCTTTCCTCCATGTCTGCGCAGCATTTTGTTTGTTGTTACCCAGGGTGTTGATCCAGGCTCGATTGATCCAGCATGGATTTCTTAGCAAAGGTATGCTTCTCGTGTAATTATCATAATATGTCCATCTTTATATGTGCTTTTGTAGATGTAAAAAAGATTATATTCAATCTAGAATCCTCAGATCAGCAGTTCGACCAGTGTGTGTAAATATGTACAACATACACGGTCCTTCAACTTGAACTGTGTTTCCACATTAGTCAGACCTTCAATGATTCTAGAAACATCGGTTAGTTTCTACAAAGTTTGATTAAACCACAAGAAAGGCGAAAACCTGTCACCAAATCCCAATAAGTAGGGCTAATTAGAGGTGGGGGGGGGGGCAGGATTGCCATTTGGTCCGGGCCTCAAACTTAGACACTTGTTTTTTTTTTCATTTGATAAGTTTCGCGACTTGTTTTCATGTATCTCCCAATCAGACCAAAATGTGACACACACTCTTAACTCAGAGCTGCAAATTAAATATTCAAGTTATATTTCACTTTTCTTTTGGGCCAATGGTTGTCTTATTTTGTTTTCATGTGTCACCATTTTTTATTTTAATTGGGGCCTCGAAAGATAGAAGTGGCACGGGCCTTTCTGAGAGAGCCTGCCACTAAAAGATGGCCTAATAAGCCTTTAACTATTATATTGTATTTAAAATAATAATAGTGTCAACTTTCTGATAAGCAAAGGAACTAATAACACTTGTCCTTGTCTACTAAGTACTTTCGTTATTTCAAGAAGAATGTCTAGATTTTGGCAACTTCTATGCCATCTTTACTGGGTGTTTTATCAGCTAGGTGGATGTAAAATGTTTTATATTTTCATTTTCCTTCAAATTTCATTATTTTAGTATTATTCTATTTCATCCTTTGGTCTTCTCTATCGTGATGATATACGACTCATAGAACAGTATTACAGAGTTCTGTGCGTTTAGTATATTCCAGAATTGGATATCGTAAATAGTGTTTTAGCCTTCCGTTTGGTCTTTAGATGTTTTGGTGTACACTAACTACAGTCATATTTTGTTGTGGTTTCTGAATATTATTCTGACTTTATCTGTTTATATTGTTGTACATTCTGAATACTGTTCTGACTTTATCTGTATATATTGTCGTGCATTCTGACTTTATCTGTTTATATTGTTGTAGTTTCTGAATGCTGTTCTGACTTTATCTGATTATATTGTTGTAGTTTCTGAATACTGTTCTGACATTATCTGTTTATATTGTCGTACATTCTGAATGCTGTTCTGACTTTATCTGTGTAGATATTGTCGTGCATTCTGAGTGCTCTTCTGACTTTATCTGTATATATTGTTGTGCATTCTGAATGCTGTTCTGACTTTATCTGTGTATATATTGTCGTGCATTCTGAGTGCTCTTCTGACTTTATCTGTATATATTGTTGTGCATTCTGAATGCTGTTCTGACCTTATTTTTTATATTGTTGTAGTTTTTGAATATTGTTCTGCTTTATCTGTGTATATATATTGTCGTGCACGCTGAATGCCGTTCTGACTTTATCTGTTTATATTGTTGTAGTTTCTTAATATCATTCTAGCTTTATCTGTGTATATTGTTGTAGTTTCTTAATATTATTCTAACTTTATCTGTTTATATTGTTGTACATTCTGAATACTGTTCAGATTTATCTGTATATATATTGTCGTACATTCTGAATACTGTTCTGACTTTATCTGTTTATATTGTTGTGGTTTCTTAATACTGTTCTGACTTTATCTGTTTATATTGTTGTGGTTTCTTAATACTACTCTGACTTTATCTGTATATATTGTCGTACATTCTGAATACTATTCTGACTTTATCTTTTTATGTTGCTATGGCTTCTGAAAATTGTTCCGACTTTATCTGCTTATATTGTTATATTTTCATAATTTTGTTCTGACTTTATCTGTTTATATTGTTGTACATTCTGAATACTGTTTTGAATTATTTGTATATATATATTGTCGTACATTCTGAACACTGTTCTGACTTTATCTGTTTATATTGTTGTGGTTTCTTAATACTATTCTGACTTTATCTTTTTATATTGTTGTGGCTTCTGAAAATTGTTCTCACTTTATCTGTTTATATTGTTATATTTTCTGAATATTGTTCTGACTTTATCTGTTTATATTGTTGTGGTTTCTTAATACTATCCTGACTTTATCTGTATATATTGTCGTACATTCTGAATATTATTCTGGCTTTATCTGTTTATATTGTCGTACCTTTTGACTACTATTCTGACTTTATCTGTTTATATTGTTGCGGCTTCTGAAAATTGTTCCGACTTTATCTGTTTATATTGTTGTGATTTCTTAATACTATTCTGAATTTATGCTGTTTATATTATTGTGACTTCTGAATACTGTTCTGAATTTATGCTGATTAGATTGTTGTGGCTTCTAAAAATTGTTCTGACTTTATGTTTTCAGAGAGACCTTTAACATAAAGGACTGTAGCTGTGTCTCTGTAATTATCTTCCTGCTTTTTCTTGAGGTTTATATTTTTGTTTTCATCGTTATCAAATAGTCATTGGCAATGAATATTGTAGTGATGTGTTTTTCGTTAGCATCTTATTTAGTTTAGTTACAAATACTGTTCATTCTTGAAACTGGACAGTCTATGGGGCTGGTTGGTTTATAGTTGAGGTATTTACCCGTATCTGTGGGTTACTTGTAGTGTATGAATTTGTTGTCTTCTAGTTCCATTATGAACCATACCGCTGGATGTTGTATGTTCAGGTGATTCATGAATTATTGAATCTTGTCTTTAGACCACATTACGAGCGTATCAACATCTCTGAGACAAATCCTGGGACTAAGAGCAGCTGTTTTCAGGGCGTTATCTTCGCAAGTATAGTTTACTGAATACTGATGATAGGGCTAACCCACAGTTAGACCTTGTTGTTGTTGATAGTATTTATCCTCATGTTGAAAGCAGGTTAGGTTGATATGGAAGGTTATGAGTTCTATTGTCAGAAGAGTACATTCCAGCTCCATCATTTTCTTGTTGTTGATGGGGTATCTGTAGTGTTTCTGGAGTTGGATACATCGACACTGATCGTTGTGTTTTTAACGTAAGGGTGCTTCTCCAAGTTGATATCATGTCTAGTATCTATGACTGGAGATGGAAGCCTTGATTATGGACCTTAGGTAGACCATATATGAGTGAGGTTGTTTTGGGGTGTACTGTTAGTTGTTTGACTGTTTCACTTCAGAGTTCATTCTGATTTTTCTTGAAGGTTAGATAACAAACTCCTTTTTCTCACAAGAAGACCTAGGATGGAATCCTACCATGCATGGTCCTTCTCAGGACTTCACTGAAGAGGACAACAGATTAGCAGCCGAAATATAAAATACATTGATAATTAGAACGTAATAAAAATAATTAGTAAATAATTATTAAGTATACGCTTAGATGATCGTATAAAGCTATTAATTATAACGAAAATCGACATCAGATCGCCAAAACCTTAAGATACAAATATAAAACAATAGTATAAAAATTAAATATTTTAATATCGACATATCCCTGTGTACTTCCATTTGTATGGTGTGTTATTTAAGAAATACAATTATGCGAGACGTACGCCAAAAAAACTTTTAAGAAAGCAAAATAAAAATCACTCTCTTTTTTTATTATCAGAATCAACCTCGTCTCTTTGCTGTTTTTTAAACGCTAAGTGTCGTGTTACAAATATTCTTTGTTTGTTTTTTGTTAAGCGCTAAGACACACAATGAGCTATGTGTGATATGCCAACCATGGGTATCGAAATCCGATATAATTCCGTTATAAGCTCTCAGATTTGCCACTGAGCCACTAGGGGGGGGGGGTGCAATAAAAGTAGCTCCCACATGGGAATCATGTTGTTTTATGAACAAATAAGTTTAATAGACTAACAGAATAAGTTCGATGCTTAAAAGTTAATCTATAATGATCTTTAAGTATATTATTTAATCTAAACGGTTAAAGATAAATTTTTAGAAAACTACAAAAAAATGTTAAAGATCAAATATGATAACCAAAGAATAATAACGAAATGGTAAATATTTATGTTTCAATCTTTTCAACAGCCGATCTGTGGAAAACGGACCTGGATTTTATGATTACTCACAAAGACCGCATCGTGGCTTTGAAGTTTCTCTCGACGATAAACGAGACTGAGTTGTGGCGAAAAGAAGCAATGGAGCAGCAGAACCGACCGAAGACAGTGACTGAAGGACACCTAGAAGACATGGCGCCTGTCTCGGCAGAGTTTTTGAACTACGGGTTGGCGTTATTCGTGTACGCAGTTCGTTACCCCTCTGTCTTCTGGCGTGTAAATAAGAGCTTCGCCCTGGTTTTTTCAATTGAGTTTGTTCTCACAGCTTTGCAACAACTTTTGGCTTTCACTGGGTTTACTGTCCTCTACAAAATTCATATCTACGGACCTTCAGAGGTTCTACTGAAGTTCAATCCAATGTTGCTCAACGTCTCCTTAAGCCTGTTGCTTTTTATTCTCTACAATATCATTCTAACGATGTCTGCTAGTGTCCTCTACATCTACGGGTTACAGAAGTTCCGTGAGAACGAGGAACAACAGATTCGGAAACGCCACATCACCTGGGTTGAGGAGTCTCGCCGTTCGTGTGGTTACATCCCTCATCTGAGTGCTCTCTTGACACTCTTGATGATAATATCAAGTGCAACACCGCTGATGTACGACTATATGTTAGTCTACTGTGGTAGTCTGGATGGAACAGTTTTGGCTGGAGTAACTGGTACCATATTGCACGTTATTTTGTGGGTGCTGTTATGGGTAGGTCTTAGCCTTAAACAAAGATGGTGGTTTAAGAAAGCTAATAATCAACAAAGATCAACTAAGGACACTGAACTGGAACTGTTAAATGGAATAAAAGAGTTACCATTACTTGTCATTGAAAATGGCCACACCTACCAGGTAAGAGAACAGGCATCAAAGCAGGCTATCTTGGACATCGCATTGTCATCTGCTATAAATGAAAAATCGAAATCTCCTGACGAAGACGACAACGTGTACTGGCTGAAACCCAAGTTTCCTCTTCCAAAAACTACAGATACTTCACCCGAAGAGGACATGATACCATGGCGACAAATTAACCGAAAATCTTCTTTTTCCAGGCAACACAAAGTCACTTTCGAAGATAAGCTAGCTGGTGCTTCTGTTAAGCGCACAAAATCCCTGACTAGCAAATCTCCAAACGTTATTAGCAAAGGAAAGAAGTCACACGTAAAATTCGAAGACGGATCTAACTTCAGCTACAATGATGGAGATTATGCCTCATTACGAGAGTTAGTCAAAGCCAGGGATGAGGACTTCGAGAGTCCAACTCTAAAGGTAAAAAACAGTAGCATCCCCTTTGTAGAAAAAACAAAACAAAAACATATTGTGTTTAGAATAGCAATTATCTGAAAATATAAAGTTAACAATGTCATCAAAATTAATTTGGGTAATTTATTTGAATGTCTAAAGATATCATATGGTGAAATAAAAAACAAAATTCGAATTGTAACATGTAACTTGCTAGATGTATTTCGATTGTCCTGTAAGAACTTTAGTAATAAATTCTATTGATTTAACAAATATATTTTTGTAGAGTTTTGAATGAGAGGGAGTTTATAGATTTTTATATAACAGCGTAAAACATAGAATATTTCATTCAAATAAGTGAGTATTCAATGAGTTACAAATACTGTTATTGTCGTTATAGCGTCTACACTCACTCCGGTACAGTGGAAGTCCACGCCCTCTGCTGGACGATGGAGACTATGGTATTCTCCTCGATAATCGTCGTTTGCCAAATAGGATCATGGCTCCTGTTATTGTTCACACCCATCTCCAGCCTGATCCTGGGAACTCGACCCCACGGAGCACAGACTCAGGGATCACTAAAAGCCACGTAGACGACAGGAACTCCCAGGATAATCCTGCTTCCAGCTCAGGATCTGTGAGCGAGGCTTCTACTTCTCCTGATAAGGCTGCTAGCGATTCTTCGAGCGGGGTCCACTCCAGCTATAGTATGGCGGACAAAAGGTCCTCTAGCCTAGAAAACATACCAGCAATGGAGCCTCCAAAATTTAGGTGGAAAAACCTATCCTTACAAAGGAACGTGGTTCCTCCTGCAGGCAGTGATTTGACTGCTGGGTTGTTTCCTCCATTACTCCCAGAAAATAAAATATATGATGACCCATATGAAACAACTATGGTGATTCGGCGTCAGCAAAAACGATCCGAAGATACTCAAGATGGCAACTGTTCTGAACGCTTTGGCCGAGCCACAAATATGCGAATGATGTCATTTACCGATCAACCAGACTATTTGGGGAGTCAGGTATTCTCCAGTACCACCGATGGTGATCATTCATTGTTTTGGACTCCGCCATCTAACACGGACAGCAGTGAAATTTATCGTAAGACCCCTTTTGGTGGGCATCCTTCTCATAGTGTGGGTCAACAAGATCGAAGAGATTCAGCTAACTATTCCCTAGCCTCCTCCGGGGATTCGGAAAACGTCACTCCTCATTTCTGATTCGTTAAAAGTGAGAGATGTGTCGTCTCCCGATTACGTCAAAGTAGAAAGGTACATAAGTGTTGACGTCAAACTCCAGTGAGTGGCTAATCCGAGTCAGTCGAACTTTAGGCTTAGTGCAGCTCTGTCAGGAACTGACTGCCAAAGCTGTCATTAGCCAAATCGGCGATGTACAGATATTTGATATAAACTTTATTTACGTATTTTATTCAAGAATTTCTGTAAAATAAGTCAAAATTCGTGCACCTGTTAGCTCGTTCACTGTCAATTGTATTAAATTTAATATCTATGTACATATTTACCTGTCAAGGTGTACACGTACAGATGGCACTACAGTGCTAAGTCATTCCGTGTCGAGAGCTCGTGTAAATGTAAGAATAGGCTTGTTTTAGGCTTCCGTAACAAAGCTTCATTCCAGTTCTTCCAGCCAAATATGGAGTAAGATATGGAGTAAGTGGTGTTTGAAACAGGATCTATTGACTTTTTAAATTTAGAATCAGTGTCTGTGTGGGAAGCACTTAGCAGGAACTTTTTTTTGGATGATTAGAAAAGGAAAACAGTGTTCATACTTGTCTGGGAATTTAACTTAATTGTTAGTTCCACTCGTTGATTGCGACGTCAACATGTACGTCAGCGTTCTTGAGCCCAGTGAATGCATGGTTTGTGTTAGGTAGTGACAGATCACTTAAAGTGGAAGATTTTTTTTAACACTTCACTATTAGCGTCTGCACATTTAGAGAAAGAAGCTTTGTCTTCTGTGTTAGAAGTTTATAGTTCGATTTGAATCTAGTTACATCTGATCCATGGCAATATATTAACCTCGCTTTTAGTATTAGGTTTTTTAAGCCTATCGTACTAATTCTTAAGTATAAATAAAGGTTGGAATGTTCGTCAACAAGATTCAAAATTACTTTGGATGAAATCAAAACTTTAAACTGTCTCTTCTGTAGGACAACAGATTGATTCGTCCACAGGAATATCAAATACTTCCAGTCTTATTTATTGTTAATTATTATTTTTTATAGTTCAGTATTTTGTATAAGCACGTAAAAAATTCCTTTAATAAAAAAAAGCTAGAGCAACCGAACACAGTAGCTAATAATGGTGAAAATTCCACACAGTGTTAATTGACAATTCTTAGTATTACGATAAAAATTAAAATAACTTAAGAAAAGCAAGGATAATCATAATTTATTTCCAGTGATATCTTTTTACTGCAATCGGGATTAGAAGTTCTTTAAATCAGGATTTAACGAAAGAAAAAAAAAACAGCAATCTTGTCACTTTATTGTCGTGGATAATATATTAATTTTCGTTTTTTTAAGGCAAAATCTCCAGGAAAAGCAGTTATTTGTTTCTCGATGAAAAGCAGTTTTTAACTTTAAGAAATTCAGCTGACATAACAACTTAAGATTTCTCTATATGCACAATATTGATTTAGAAAAAAAAAAAACTACCTTCAGAATATGCAAACTTCAAGTTAAACGTTCCAATTTATAGTATATACTTTGCACTATTTCTGTGTTGTCGTTTTTTTAGGAAAACGGTCGTTTTTGTGCCAATTTTCTAAAATTTTTTATATATATATATTTAAAATGTTTCATAAACGTTTGTATAGTGTGTACGTCTGCTTAGTGAAGGTAATTGTGCTGTAAATCCCATTTAGCCCCTAGTGACAGCTTGAGAGCTTATACGCGAAGAAATCGTGGTTCGATACCCATTGTGGGCACAGAGTAAATAGCCCATCGTGTAGCTATGCCCTTAAATACAAACATTTATAATCACCTTATTTCTTCTACCACAGATCAGAATATTTCAAGATAACTGAAAGATATCGGAGTATGTATGCAGTTAGGGTAACAGTTTTAAAGATCAAAATGTCCGACATTATTCGACCTGTTATAAGAAGAAGGAGAATGAAAACAGCTCGGACGTTTCTTATCTAGAAACTAACCTTGTGTACAGTTCTTGATACTGTATTTTAAAGATTCTTGAAAATATTATTCAATGTTCTTTCAATCAGATTTGTGATTCGTTTTCACTCAAAAAATAAACAAATCTTGCAAAGTTTAATTTTGTTATTACAGGTTTAAAAAATTGTTTGTTTTACACAAGCAAAAATTTTAGTTCACTGATGAACTAAATAGATGTGAAATAATTTTATACAATTATATAAAATCTATTACTCGTGTGATTGATTTTGAACAAAACTACTTGCAACTCGTAAATCTTTCGCAGAACCTTATTTACTCATATTAATAATAATAATAGCACAATATTTTTTGTTGCAAAAATAAAATTCACTTGAATTAATTTATTTTTTGCACAAAACAAACATTTATTTTGTTTGTACATTTATTCACATTAATCAATTCGTTTTAATTAATATTTTCTTTAGCCTAAATGTTTCTTCATTTTTTCTAGTTTCGCAAGTTAGAATTTTTTTTCACACATATTTAACACGCAAAGTTGTAAGCTTAAGAATATGGATCTCATTTCTTCATTAATACACTACATGATACATTGTGTTGAAGTGAAATTATTTTATATTTATGTGTATGTAATTGTTTGTGATAAATCTATACTTATAATCTATATTATCGGCCATTTTTTAAATATTGTTTACTGATATTAGATGATTTTTTCAGTGGTTGTTATATTTTGTGAGTGTTTATGCTGTTTTACCTTTTGTAAATAAAAGAAACTGCTTTAACAACTTGAATATTCTGATGATTCGGATAAAACTATATTATTCATAAGTCAGTGTTTTTAATACAATACACATACCACACTGTAATGATCGTGAAAAGGTTGACTCAATACTATACCGTAGTGATCATGAAAAGGTTGACACAGTACCACACAATAGTGATCATGAAAAGGTCGACTCAATACCATACCGTAGTGATCATGAAAAGGTGAACACAGTACCACACCATAGTGATAATGAAAAGGTTGACTCAATACTATACCGTAGTGATCATGAAAAGGTTGACACAGTACCACACTGTAATGATCATGAAAAGGTTGACACAGTACCACACAATAGCGATCATGAAAAGGTCGACTCAATACCATACCGTAGTGATAATGAAAAGGTTGACACAGTACCACACTGTAATGATCATGAAAAGGTTGACAGTACCACACCATTATGATCATGAAAAGGTTGACACAGTACCATACTGTAGTGATCATGACAAGGTTGACACAGTACCACACCATAGTGATCATGACAAGGTTGACCAAATACCACACCATAGTGATCATGAAAAGGTTGACACAGTACCATACTGTAGTGGTAATGAAAATACTGTTTCTGACGTTTTATGGTATTCATTAAGTACATAAAAACAGAAATCCTTGAGAGCCGTTTCTTTAGTGAATACTTTCTGCAGTTATCCACCAAACAGAGATTATATTTCAGCTGGGGTTATTGGGTGCAGCAGGCAGATTCTTAACCAATAAAAAACGTTTTATTTCTCTATGTTTGGTTCACAACCTACTTCAGGTCCCTAGACGTCACAAAAGTAACGATATTTTTTGCAATTGAAAGCAACTATTCTACACAAATTCAAGTGAGTCGAAGGATGTGGTTAATATTGTATGTTTATGTACATAACTTGCGGACGTATAACAAGCCCGACGTCTAACCTAATATGTCTAATTTTTGACATCTCTAAAACACATTTTCATCTTAAGTCTACCATCCTTTCATGTCTACTTAGTTCTGACCTTTGCCACACTTAGCGCTAACAAATGTTATGGGTCTAACCAAACTCATTTTAATATGGTTCTGACCTTGATATTTGACCTTCGCACTTGACTGAATTTATGTGTTTTGCTCGCTCGCTTTCTAACACGGTCCTTAGTGAAACACAGCCTGAAATCAGACGATAATTCCGTGTGCAAAGAAAAGAAATCCGCTCCGAGTGTAGGGCAACACGAAAACCCGTTTATTCTAACTTCACGATCTTATGTAATAACATACTCCCTTTTGCCTTAAAGTTAGTTTCTTTAATATTGTTGGTTATAATTTATAAATAATTGTTATTATTTATAAGTATTTGTTCATTTTTGAAGACTTAGTATTGTTACCTCAGCGTATGGTCCCCAGTGGCACGGCGGTATGTATGTAGCCTCACAACACTAGATACCCGTGGTGGGCAGAGCATATAGTTTTAGGACTAACTTACACCTATTTACCTTGCCGAACCTCGTAAGATATTATTGGGTTTGTGGCCGTAAACATAGTTAATAGTAAAGTTTCCTAACTGTTGATTCAGCGTATTCTACATTAAGTAATCAAGACAGATTTCAGTTTTCTCGTGTAATGATACGTGACATTGTGTACTTATAATTAGTTTGTTATATAGAATTAGTCTTATTAATTGCAAATTTACTTTTTCATTCTGACCGACAAAGATTAAGTTTACTTTTGATTACAGTTTAAATCTTCATCGGCACTGGATATGGCTGATATAGTGACATATTATTCCTTATTTTCACTCATCAGTTTTCAGCGATAAGTCATTTCTAATCAAATATAAAAGAATAAAGAAACTGTCGCATCCTCGGTGATACAACTCATTTTAAAACTCCATTAAAAATTTGTTCTTCCTGTGTAATTTTGTCAGTTAAACTTTTGTATCTGATATCTAAGATCTAACACCAGTATAACTGATGAAAGAAAAATACACTGGTTCCATTTATTTTTTCCTAGCTACATACTCTATGCTCTGTTTTAACATTGTATCTGAAAGAACTCATTGTTTAAACGTCAGAGCAAGAGGCGTGAGTTAGGAGCAAGTCAGCAAAACATATGTTTACGATTATATGTATCTATCTAAATACACAATATATTTAAAAAAATAAAACATACTTATGACAGAGCCTAATAGATGGCGCTCACAGTCTCTCTTTTTTTAATTGGGAAAATTTCTTTCTTTGTTTCGGATCCCCCAAATAGCTTAGTGGTAAGTCTACAGACTTACGAGGATAAAAATCTAGTTTTAATACCTGTGGTGGGCAAAACAGAGATAGCCGATTGTGTAGCTTTATGCTTAACAAGAACCAAATCAAATAAAGACTATCTGCGTCTAACTGTCCCCATTTTTGGGCTGATAAACATATAACGTATCCTCGGCCCAAAAATACAGAGAGCGATTTTGCGGCAACGGATCAAAAACCAAGGGCTCACAGATTCATAGTTTGGCCTTGATAAAAATGGTTTGTTTCTTCTAAGTTTCATGCAAAGCTACCTGCGCTAGCAGTCCCTAATTTAGAAGTGATAGACTACAACATCACCAACCGCCAACTCTTGGACTACTATTTATTAATGAATAGTGAGAGTGATCATTACATTATAGCGCTCCCACAACTGAAAGGTTAAGCACGTTCAATGACGGGATTCGATCCCGTAACCCGCAGATTGCCAATCGAGTGTTCTGACCACCAGTTAGAAGTATGCTATAATATAAATCCTCCTAAATCAAGATTATCAGTTAAAGGAGGTTCGTATCTAAATATCGTGATAGAAAACTAAAATAATAATATTTACCCCATTTGATTGTGTTCGAAATAAACCGATACAAAGCGTTTTCCGTTAAAAGACGACACTAAGCCTAAGCTTAATGGAATTACAATATTTACAGATTAATTGTCTTTAAAAAAATAATAGACGTATATTTAAATGACCTGGTGGTTTGGGTGCTCGACTCAATCTGCGGGTCACGGATTCGAATCCCCATCACCGAACATGCGCGCTCCTTTCAGTCGTGGAGGCAAAATAATGTGACGGTCATTCCCACTATTCGTTGGTAAAAGAGACGCCCATGAATTGGCGGTGGGTGGTGCTTACTTAATGCCTAAATTAGGGACGACTAGTGAAGATAGCCCTCGAGTAGCTTTACGCAAAATTCAGACCAAACGAACAATGTGAGATTTAAGATTTAATAAAACAATTACATATGGATACTTTTTCATATTTTAAAAAGTGCAATTCTAGAATGCCCCCTCCGAAATAAACTCTGATTTATAACACCATTTCTTTAAATCCTAAATACCATTCGTTTCTCAGTTATGATTTTAAAAACAAATTGTAATATTAGTCCTTGCCTAGCCTTGTGAATAAACCTGACCTGCCATCTACTGGCTAAACGAATGATTATCTGTCAAATTTACATCAGGTCGAAGGAACCATTGGGAACCTATCTCAAAGATCTGTTTCCAAGACACTGTATTATTAACGTGTTTTTTGTTGTTTTTGTTAAAAAATAAGCTACTTCCATTTCCACAGAACTAAATATTTAAGTGAATTTCAAAACAGATAGTCAGACTGGTCTGAATAATGGCAGCTAGAGAATAGCACCCACATACATAGTCAGACTGGTCTGAATAATGGCAACTAGAGAATAGCACCCACATACATAGTCAGACTGGTCTGAATAATGGCAACTAGAGAATAGCACCCACCTACATAGTCAGACTGGTATGAATAATGGTAACTAGAGAATAGCACCCACATACATAGTCAGACTAGTCTGAATAATGGCAACTAGAGAATAGCACCCACCTACATAGTCAGACTGGTCTGAATAATGGCAACTAGAGAATAGCACCCACATACATAGTCAGACTGGTCTGAATAATGGCAGCTAGAGAATAGCACCCACCTACGTAGTCAGACTGCTCTGAACAGTGGCAGCTAGACAATAGCACCCACCTACAACTTTACGGATACTGTTATTGAATTATAGGATTTGACTGTCACTCTTATAGAGCATCCGCGTTACAAAAGTGCGGAACACGTTTTTTGTGGCAACTGAACATAAACAATGAAACCTTGGATTCACAGTCGAGGCACGCTACTAGTAGAGTACGCCCAGTTCTTTGTTTTAGAAATGAATGATGCTTAAATTTCTTCATTAGTTTGATTAAAATTGTTTTAAGAGAGATACGTATTAAATACACAAGATTACGTTCTGTTCACGAAATAAATACGATAGAATTGTACTACTCAAAAATATATTAAAAATAAATATGAAATTCATTTGATTCCCTACTTGCCACTTGATTAAAGTGGATTTGAGAAATTCCACCTCTCACTAGTGACCAAAGGCAAATCGAAAGCACGAGACTATAATTCTTCCACTAGTGGAGTACATGTGTCCGATGTTTTTAATTCTGTGTTATTCACCACAGTGAACCTATATCTATATATGATTTAAAGAACAAGTAGCATTGATGCTTCTAATTTATTCTTGTGAATTGTTTGGCAGACAAACAGATTATTTAGAGTACTGGAAGCAGTGGCGTAGGAAGGGTTCTCAATACCCGGGGGCAAAGACACTTTTGGCGCCCCCACCTCTGAAAAGTTTTAATTATTTGTTTTGTGACTCATTACCCACTTAATGACAATAACATAAAAAATTAATTACCGCCTTACACAGGCCTAAAATAAAGTCACAATATAACATCTCACGATATCACAACTGTAAACCTGGAACTAATGAAGTATAGCCTACTGGGTGTACTTACATAATTTGTAAACCATTTTGATATTTATGTCATCAATAAGCTAGAGTAATCTTTCAAGCATGCAGAATAAATTTCTGTTATATATCCCTAGTTTTGAAACATATTTTATATGAGAAGCCAGTCACTTGTGGTGTATATGAA